TTGGAGGCAGAGCTGGGAACCATGAGCATAACCACAGCAGCCAATCATGTGGGTGAACGATATCGACGAAAAGTATTAGACTTGAAAAGGTCGAATACAGAACATCAATATTAAGAAGATAGGCTGGGTGGTGGTGGTGGCACACGCCTTTAATCCCAGCACTCAGGAGGCAGAGGCAAGCAGATCTCTGTGAGTTTGAGGTCAGACTGGTCTACAAGAGCTAGTTCCAGGACAGGCTCCAAAGCTACAGAGAAACCGTGTCTCAAAAAAAAAAGGGGGGGGGGGGGTATTTAAAAATTTACAGCAAATCAGCAGCTTCAAAGGCTAAGAGAAAGACTTGGGAACTATGATTAACACTAAGCTGTATTTATATTACCCTTTTTGTTTATGTAAACTTTCTCCACTTTTTGGTGAACACTTATTTTTTATAAGAAAATGTTTAATATTTGAAGGGAGTGATATAGTTTTCATTCATGTACTTCCCCATGTATATACACAAAAATGAAACAAAGGTGAATGACCTCTTCCAATGTCATTCATGATTCAACATAACTGGATTATTAGAGTCTATAACCAATGATTTTGTTTTCCAAACCATTCTTGATGTGCTATCTTCGATGCTACTGCAAACCATCTGGAACTACTTAACTTTGCCAGCCTGCTGTGATAGCTCTCTCCGCCTTGGGAAGCCTGTCCCAGCCGAAATGAATAACCAAGAAAACAACTGCTTTGAAAATGTGATAACACGCGGCTTTCAAATAAGACCAGCATATTTGTTTCTCATGGATCAAAACAAACTGATCCTTAGTATTGTATTATATTGTTGTTGTATTGTACCGTACACAGTACTGACATTAACCTACACAAGTAACCTCATACTCTGACATTCAAGTTGAATATGACATTAGTTATAATTTTTTATTGGAGAATCAAAGGATCAGGAGATACGGCTCAATGGTAGAATAGATACCTACCAGGAAACAAAGAACCCAGGCACGGAGGCACACCTTGTAATCCCACTACTTGGGCAGATCTTTTTCAAAGGTGTGTGTGGGGGGGGGGTGTTGACATTTTAAAATTATCGTTCTTTCAAAATGTTACATACTGTTTGTATATAGCAGAGTACACCTATGTACAAGTTGAAGTTTAAAGGTAAGAATTTTATCCTAAGAATTACTCTAAAAACTTTCTAGCCAGGATGGTAGCCTATCTGTTTAAGTCCAGCAATTACGAGCCAGGCAAGCAGATCTTTGGAAGTTCAAAGCCAGCCTGGTCTATATAGTGAGCTTCGGGACAGCCAAGGCTACAGAGCAAAAAAACCCAAATCTCCCCCAAAAGTATTCACTTTTATTTTATGTATGTGAGGTGTATATATACTACATTGATGTTTTGTGTCCACAGAGGACAGAAGAGGGCACTGAATCCTCTGGAACTGGAGTTACAGCAGTTGTGAGCCACTGGATATGGGTGCTGGGAACCGAATTTCGATCTGCAAGAGCAGCAAGTGCTCTTAACCACTGAACCCTCACAACTTCTAAGACACTTTCAAGTTCCTAAACCTTCATTCTTTTCTTATCTATGTAACTGTGTTGTTGTTGTTTTGGGGTTTCTCTATGTAGCCCAGGCTGTCCTAACTCAGTCTGTAGATGAGGCTGGACTTGAAGTCAGAGATCCTCCTGTGTCTGGTGTGCACCACTATCAAAGAGCAATCTAGATAACTGTTTTTAAGTCGCTCTGAGTTTACCAAGATTAGGAATGATAGATAGCTGCTGTTCTTATTCTAAAAGTCAAGAGAACCAAATTTTGGGGGAAATGTGTTACTATACTACACTTCTTAAAGCAACATTTCAGCCAGGCATGGTGGCAAATGGAGGCAGAGGCAAGCAGGTCTCTATGAGTTTGAGACTAGCCTGATGATCTACAAGGCAAATTATAGGCCAGCCAGGACTACACAGTGTCTCAAACAAACAAACAATCAAAAAAAGGTAAATTTTCAAACCAGACATGGTCACACAAACCTGTAATCCTTGATCTGGGGAAACTGAGGCAGTGAAATTAGGAGGTGAACAACAGCCTGGGCTGTCTTTTAAGACGATGTATCAAAACAACAACAGCAACAAAATGAAAAAAACAGAGTAGAAGCTGGGTTTTTTGTTTGTTTCTTTGAGACTTTCAATCCCCTTAGTAGCAGATAGATTTCTCAAATACTGACAGGAAAACACACTAGACATAAACTAGTATCAAATTCAGTGTTAATTTTTTTCTACAGTCTTAATGATCAAATTGGTTAACCTAGTCCAAATTATCAAATTAGGGCTGAGGTTATAGCTCAGTGGTGGAGCATTTGGTGAGCATGCATAAGGCCTGAGTGAGGCTCAGCTCCCAAAACTGGTGGGGGGAAAAACAGCTGAGAGAAGTTAAAGGGGGAAAAAATATGTGTGTGTGTGTGTGTGTGTGTGTTTCACTGTGTTCGGGCTATCCTGGATCTCACTCTGTGACCAAGCAGGCCTCTAGCTCACAGAAATTGCCTGCCTCTGCTGTGTTAAAGGTGTATGCCACCACCACCACCTGGCTGAGAAAATACATATTTTTAAGTCTTCATTAAGTATTTGCAGTCAGAATTTCTTTTAGGGACTGGAAAGAAGACTCAGTGGTTAAGAGCACTTCCTGTTCTCTTAGAGGACAGGAGTCGGGTTCCCAACATCCACATGTAGGCAAGTCATGCTTATTGGCCTAATCTGGAGGATTCTAGACCCCTGGCACCTGTACTCACGTATACATACCCCTACACGGACACATACTTAAAAAAAAAAAAGAATTATTTCTAAGAACTTCCTCCGATATTTAAAAAGTCAACATCCCAACTATGTCAAGGTGTTTTGAGACTCAGTGACTAAGCTGGAAACTGTTGGAATCATTTGTACACGACTTGTTTTTTCCCAGATCTGCACAGAGGCAGTAATCTCACTTGTAAAATGAAGGGCCTGAATAGAAAATGACCTAACTCTTTAATAGAGTCAGCATAGTAATCTCACCTGTAAAATGAAGAGCCTCTTTAATAAAGTCAGCTGGTCCTGATTCTTGTGACTAAGTCTTAAGCTTTTTTTAAAAAAAAGAATAAAACCTAAAAATGTCATTACACATTTTAAACTTTTAACCCGCTAAGGACCTTAAAGATACTTTACACAAACAAGCCAGCCATTTTATCTCTGCTAGCATCAGAACAAAATATGGTACAAAGTCTGATCTTATGTGAAAAATCTCTGATTTAAGGGGAAATAATACTTTCTAACTTTAATTTTGCTAGTTTTATCTCAATTACAAGCTTCTGCTCTCCATTGGTGATCACCTTATCATTTTAATCATTTTTCTAATTTATACGTACATTAAAATTAATCTTGTTTTCTAGTCACATTAAGGAAAAAACACCCACATCTTACCATCTCATTTTGTACATCTCATCATGTATAGCTCAATTTAAAAAGCCTTGAAACGTTCAGGACTGTCCTACATTAATGACAGGCTAGGGGAGCATTCGCTAATGCTTAGCCTGTGTGTCCCTTCTGGAGGTGCATATGTAAAGGTTAAAACTGTCCAAATAGTACTAGTCTGAGATAAATTCCTTCAGTTTGGTAAATATTTCCATTATATTTTAAGCAGAAACTTGAGTGTCTTTGAATAGCGTATAAAAAAACGGCATTTTGTAGGTCCTTTTCTTTGACAGTTTACAAAAGAACTACTCTAAACCGTTAATGCTGTTTACCCCTGGGTGGTGGTATTACACGCCATTTTATTTTTGCATTTCCCCAAAACACATTATTCCCTTGGTAATCGAACATTATTGTAAAATTAATTGCCAGATGGTTTATAAAGTGTGGCATCCACACGGTCCAATTCTACAGATCTGATCTGCTCAGTGGCTTTTTCATTTTGAAGAGCAGATGCTTTTAACAGGAGAATGATTTGATCAGGTGTCTACGAGGTCAGCCGACGACAAAACAGCTTTCTTTTCCAGGCCCTTCTTTTCAGCTTTGGAGAAATCCAGGAAGTGGGTCTGAACTTAGCTGTAGTGACTCGCAGTAGTAAACTTTTTGGGTGGTCAGAGTAACACCTTTCGTTACAACTATTAGCTGAATGGCAAAAGACTCCCGGCTTTCCAGTGTGCAGAGGCATTATTTTGGAACAATTCCGCTTGGAAAGAAACGCAATTGTAAACCGTTTCTATTTCAAGCCCATAAAAAGCAAAACTCGGATGAAAGGCAAAGCCTTGACCTTTCTATTTTAGACTTTCATCTGGGTAGCTAAGCCATCTGCTTTCCCCCCACCTCCCACCCCATCTACTTAATGGACTGAAAATACTGCACTTAATTGCAATTTTATCAAACCAGGTTGACTTTTCTACTTTAATGAATTACGCCCGCGGCCTTTCACCTAAAGGCTAGCTTGGCAGGGTTTTACCCTTCCTTCCCAATCCCTTCCCACCTCTCAATTATGACCTGTCAAATGTCTATAAAGTATGATACTAGGCACTCGCGTAGGAAAGCCATTACAGAGCTTTTCATTTCAACCGTGAGGACCTGACGGAAAAATCTAGGGGTCTGGGCCACTCTTGGACACCGGGACGGTATTAGCTTTGTTGCGGTTACGCAGGAAGACACCTCCACCTCACAGTCCATAAAGGAGTCGCGCGTCCCCGCCGCCCAACAAGAAACGCAGCCCGGGAAAGGGCAGACAGACGAAGGTGGGAGGAAACCCCAGGAAGAAGGGCGCTGGGAAGAAAGGGGAGCCCAAGACGGGAGGGAAGACCTTCTCAGGAAGGAGCCGGGGAAGGGTGTGCGAAGTGGCCGAGAAGCTGGCCGAGAGAGCCGAAGAAGCGGGGCCGGGTGCAGGCGCGGGGACCCCGCCCGGGAGCCCCGCGGGGACGCGGGTGGCGGGGACGGTGACCCAGGCTGGCGACCCAGAGACGGCGGCCCACCCGCGGCCGAGCCCCGTTACTTAACTATTTGTAGAGCTGCTGCAGGCACAGGTCCAGGCTCTCGCCCTCCACCTCCTCCCGGGTGATGCGCTCCGACAGCGGCCGCGGGAGCGGGGGCAGCGGCGGCAGCTGGGGCTGCGGCGGCGGCGGCACGGCCGAGTGCCCCGGGGCCGCCGCTTCCTCCTCCTCCTCGCCCTCGGCCGCCGCCTCCTCCTCCTCCACCGCCTCCTCTTCGGGCTCGGGGTCTTGGTCCTGCTCCCCCTCCTCGGCCGCCGCTACTGTCGCAGCGTCCTCCCCCGGTTCTTCCCCCGAAGCCTCGGCCGCCTCAGCCGCGACCAGCTCCGCTTCGGGCTCAGGCTCGGATTCGGGTTCGGGCTCTGGCTCTCCGCCGCCGCACGGTCCTCGGAACTCGCCCAGGAACAGCTCCAGGAAGCGCCGGTAAGTTTTCTCCTCAGGGATGCAGCCCGCCATCGTTGCTCATGCCCTGAGGTCCACCGGGAAGGGGGTGGAGGATGAGCCCAGAAGGAGGAGGGGGCTGCTTCGGAGCCTCGCCTCCCGCTACGGAGGGGGAACGGCCGCACCGGCACCGGCGATCAGCACTGGATTGCCTGGAGAGGGCTCCCGCAGGCGTGCGCGCCACCGAGCTCGGACGTGCGCGGCCCAGGGGCGGGGGCGGAGCGCGCCACCCCACTCCGGTCTGGAGGGAAAGTTGGTGGCGGGCGCGCGCACAGGGTCCAGCGGCGGCCCACCCGCAATCCCTACCGAGAGCTCAGCCCACGCTGCCTAGAGACTGTCGCCATGGCAACCGGTTCTAATTAAGAATTCCAGGGTCCTTCCCGTCGAGTCTGTGGAGTGGTAAGGACACTGGACTCCTGCACTCCAACTTCGAATGGTCCTTACTGGATGAAGACCCCAGTTTCATGCTAAGAGTGAACGCAAGCATTTCTTGGTTCCACTCGGAGTGTATTGACTTCAGATTCCTTCCTTGCCTTAGCATATCCGTTGATACTACAGTACACAGTAAACGTCTTTTTACTGAGGATACACCTCGAAAATAGAGATGTGTGCATAGGCACCTAAAAGGGTAGTTTCCTTTGCTTCGGTTCCTTCATTTGATTCTAAGTATCCCCATTTCTCAAAAAGATGAATGTGAGAAATAAAGTAGTAATTTACTCGCTTTAAAGTCCAGACTTCCCAGCAGTGGCGTTGGTGTTGGAACCCAGATCTAAGTCTCGAAAGCTTTCACAATCTTTTCCCTTAGCTCCGCTCTATGAAAATATATCTGTGCCTCGTGTCCACACAATGCCTTATTTATATAGGGCTTTGCAGTTTACACGTGTTCATCTCTATAATCCTTACCACAGCCCTAAAGGATATTACTGTTATGATTCTGTTTTACACATGAGGAATCAAGCCTTAAAAAACAGTGACTTTGCTCAAGGTCAGAAGCAAGCAAAGCAACAAGGACTCAACCCATGGTTGAGATGGCAGATTTTACTTGTAAGTTTGACATCACACTAAACTTCCCTCCCTAATTTCTGTATACTGCACATCACAGCCTTGAATATAAGCTATATTATTGCCTATATTTTGTTCTTCCCCACTACCTCCTGTGTCTCTTTTTTTCTTTCTTGGGCTAAAACTGAAATGACTTTAAATTATTCTAATTTTCTTACCAAACTCTGCACAAACCTGTTATTTTCAGGCGTCATGGTGCTGGCGTTGGTGGTGGGTGCTCAGGGAACTGGTGTTACACAGCTGTATGGATGTTAGCATCATTGCTGCACACGGCGATGGCAGCGTGTAATTCAGCACAAACATAGTGATTTTTCTCCTCTCGGAAAAGCACGTACTCACAAATCATCCACTCCAGCCTCTCCATTTGTTGTCTCTGGGTTTCAGCTGGATTTAAGAGCTGAAATACCATTTCCAGTCAGTTATTAATGGCCGAAGAGGGTGTCTTCTCGCCAACTGTTTTCCTATAATGCTGTATTTTTAAATCCCTGACCTGATACTGTTATTTTAAGATTAAGTAGGTTGGACCTACTAATGGTATCATGTAAAATAGAGTTCTATGCTCTCTCTCTTAGGTCAAGATTAAATAATACATGATAGAAAGTGTATAGTAAATAATGCATTTGGGGTTTTTTTCTATTTTTTTTCCTAAGACAAATGAAAAGATTCAGTCTGTATAAAGCAACTTCTCTGTGGGATGCCAAGAGCCTTTAAAACTAATTTCATATTCAACCTACCTGTTCTCTGCCATTTCAGAAAAACTAGAAAAAGCTGAGTGTGGTGAAGCACGTCCTTAATTCCAGTGCTCTGACAGCAGAGGCAGGTGGCGTGCTGAGTCCAAGTCCTGCCCAGACTGCCTAAAGTTCCAGATCAGCCAGGGCTATGTAGTGAGATCTTGTCTAATTATAAAAATAAATAAATAACTAGGAAAGAGTGACAACCTTTTAGGCTGCAGCAGCTTTAAATGCCCAATTTTACATTCCAACAAAGTATTACTATCCTCAATTTTAACATGGTGACGTTTAGCTCAGGAGTGCGCAGCTGTCAACGGTAACAATTCATGTCAAGTTACATCTTCTTACTTCGTAATGGAGCTGCCTCCTTCATTTAGATGACATTTGTGACATTAATTTATGACTCAACCCACACATCAGAGAGAAATGATATATGTTGGTAAAACATTACTTCTAAGAATAAAAGGAAAAGCCCACACCTCTGTTACTGGAAATGAGAGGCGTCTTTGCTTGTCTTAATAAAGATACTCCTTTACAAAGATCAATATGAATCCCATTGCATTCTTCTAGCAAAGGAGCTGTCAGAGGCTGCTGCCAGCAGCAGCAGGATCCCAAGGCAGCCGTGTCGGTGGTTTTGCCATCGTCGAGTCTTCTAGTCCTTATTCTGCATCTCTTTGCCTTCCTTCCTCCTCACACCTCTCTCGCCCATTCTATTTAGTTCTTGCTTAAGAGAAAATGGAATGAGTCCCGACACATTCTTAGGCTCTCAGAGCTCTACACCCAATCGGTTTTTCTCAGGCCACCTGATATTCCCTCCTGGCTCTTAACATAGTTTGTACTTTATTTTTATCTTTGTAGTTATCTCATTATGTGTGTCTTCTCTAGAAAATAAGACTATTCTTTACTGCCATTGTGTTCAACAACAAATTTAGTTATTAGTACTTAGTATGATTTCAGGATTCGCTGAAATATATAACAAATTTTTCATTAAGATTCAAGTTATGGGCCGGGCAATGGTGGTGCACACCTTTAATCCCAGCACTCAGGAGGCAGAGGCAGGCGGATCTCTGTGAGTTCGAGACCAGCCTGGTCTACAGAGCTAGTTCCAGGACAAGCTCCAAAGCCACAGAGAAACCCTGTCTCAAAAAACCAAAAAAAAAAAAAAAGATTCAAGTTATGAAAATGCATAATGTATATAAATGTGAAGTGCGCTCTGAGATACTTTTCTTACAAGAAAATGTTCTTCTACTTCCTTATCTTGTTGAAGGAAATGCACCATGTCCTTTCATGGTTTTTTGTAGTAATATTTGTAAGGGTAAAAACGTTTAATTTAGTAGCTTCTTGAATAACCCAGACATTTTCTCAGATATTTACTCAAGAGAAATAACTCGTCATAAACACAAACACGAAAACTTGTACATCAATGTTCACTGGGAGTGATATAAAATCCATGAACAGGTAAGATGGGTAACTGCTGTATATTTATACAACAGAATACTACTACTTGTCAATAAAAGTAGATGAACTAGGCTAAGAATGGAATATGCCTAGAATCCCAGCACTCAAAAGATAAGATTAAGAATTAAGCTAGAGGGCTGGAGAGATGGCTCAGAGGTTAAGAGCATTGCCTGCTCTTCCAAAGGTCCTGAGTTCAATTCCCAGCAACCACATGGTGGCTCACAACCATCTGTAATGAGGTCTGGTGCCCTCTTCTGGCCTGCAGGCATACACACAAACAGAGTATTGTATACATAATAAATAAATAAATAAATATTAAAAAAAAAAAAGAATTAAGCTAGATGTGGCAATGCACATCTTTAATCCCAGATCTAGAAAGGCAGAGGCAGGTGGATCTCTGTGAATTCAAGGTCAGCCTGGTCTACAGAGAAAGTTCCAGGACAGCTAGGGGTATATAGTGAGACTCTGTTTCAGAAAATAAAAGGGGGAAAGGTTGAAGCCAAGCCTTGGTAAAAAGTGAGTTAAGGGTCATCCTGGGCTATGTGAGATCTTGCTATGTCAAGACAAAAAAGAAAACAACCACACATGTTGAGAGGGCTGGAGATATGGCTCAGCGTTTAAGAGTACTTGCTTCTCTTGAAGAGGACTTGAGTTCAATTCAGAACATCAACACGGAAGCTCAAAACTGCCTGTTAACTCTAGTTCTAGGGGATCCAATATCCTCCTCTGGCCTATTTGGGCACTGGGCATATACTTGGTACATATATATGTATGCAGACAAACACATACACACACATACAATAAAAATTTAAAACATACCAAAACCAAATACTGCACAAAAGAGGGACTGGAAAAATGGCTCAGCTGTTGAGAGCACTTATTACTCTTGTAGAAGACATGACTTTGATTCCCAGCACCTACACAGCAGCTCACAGCCTCCCACAACTCCAGTTCCAAAAAACTCGGCACCCTCTTCTGCTTCTCCAAGTATGAGACATGCACGTGGTGCCCATACATACCTCCAGGCAAAACACTGATACACGTAAAATAGAAATATTTTCAGTTGCACAAAAGAATATATTATTTTACCCATATGATATACTAATAAAAAACAGGCAAGACTAAACCAGGTGTGTACATATCTATAATACCAGCATTCAGGAGGCTGAGACAGGAGGATCAGAAGTTTAAGGTCGAGGCTACATAGCCAGAACATCTCAAGAAAAACAATCAAATGAACAAAAAAGGCTTAAGTAGCCAAATATGAGAAAACAGGAAGGAACTAGAGTGAATACTGTGAGTTTATCAGCATGTTCTCCATCACTGAGTGTGGCAGCACACGCCTTCAGTCTCAGCACTCAGGTGGCAGAGGCAGGTAGGTCTCTGCAAGTTCAAAGCCAATCTGGCCTACCATGAGTTCCAGCACAGCCAGAGCTACAATCTCAAAAACAGAAGAACAAACAAAAATGCTCTCTATTTTAAGTGGGTGACTACATGAGTTATAAAATTACCAAAGTGTACTTTAAAGATAATAGGGATGTAGCTCAGTGGTGGAGCACTTGCCTAGCATGTAAAAGGCTTAAATATGCATTTAAAATAAACATAATGAACAAAAATCAAACATCAATAAAGTTGTTTTTTTTAAGAATTGACTTCATTGTTAAACCTTATCCTTTTTGCCACCATGTCCACTTTTTCCTCCCTTGTTTCACTCGGTATTGCCACAGAGCTGACCCGTCCAGGTAACCTTTGCTGGGCTTCAGGGACAGTCACCTTTCCGTTGTCATTTGCCTAGTGGGAGGCGCTGACAAGAAACTGTAAGTGAGGAGAGCAAAAAAGCCTCAGCATTTCTTTCTTCTCCCTGTCTCAGCCCCGAGCCTGTTTTATCTCCTTTGTGACTTTGCTCCCCTTAACTGTCCACTGGATTTCGGGCTG